CTTTTTACCCTGATTGGAGGTTCATCGGCCTTTTGCCCTGATTCTGGACCCTCGCCTTTTGCCCTGATTCTAGGACCCCCTCGCCTTTTTGCCCTGGTTCTGAGCCCCCTCTGCCTTTTTGCCCTGGTTCTGGGCCCCTTCTGCCTTTTTGCTCTGGTTCTGGGCCCCCTCCGCCTTTTTGCCCTGGTTCTGGGCCCCTTCCGCCTTTTTGCCCTGGTTCTGGGTTCCCTCTGCCTTTTTGCCCTGGTTCTGGGTCCCCTCTGCCTTTTTGCCCTGGTTCTGGGCCCCCTCTGCCTTTTTGCCCTGGTTGGGAGTTCCCTCTGCCTTTTTGCCCTGGTTCTGTGGCCCCTCTGCCTTTTTTCCCTGGTTGGGAATTCCCTCTGCCTTTTTGCCCTGGTTCTGGGTCCCTTCTGCCTTTTTGCCCTGGTTCTGGGTCCCCTCTGCCTTTTTGCCCTGCATAGCACCAGTGGCCTTGGAACCCACTGGAGGCACAACCACCATAGGCACCTCCTTAGGAGCAGTTTCCAAGATGGCAGCCTTTGAGGCAAGAACCTGGATAGAATTCACTACAGAACTGACTGCTGGTTCCACTTTTGCTACTTTTTTCTCTTTCTTCTTTTTGTCCTTAGGGGAGGAGGCCAGTTTCTCTTGGGGCATGGCTGGTACCGTGGCTATAGGGGTAATGACCACAGAGGGATGGACCGGGGTTGGAGCCACAGCCATTGCAGGTGCCCGTACTGGGTCTTTGAGGAGGATGGTCATGTTTGGGGCTGGCTCATGGTCAGGTATCTTCCCGTTGGGTTTCTCATCCTTTTTCTTGGTCTTTCCTTTCTTCTCTATTGTTTTCTCCTTCTTTTTCTTCTCTACTTTCTGGTGATAAGTTTTCGCCATCTCCTTGCGCTGGTTGGCTAGAGCTTCTTCATATGACGTCTCCTTCATGGAGAAGGTTGACACCAGGAAGATGCCAATGGCAGAAACAACCATAAATCCACCAAAGACCACAACCCCCAAGGTTTGAGTGTCGTAAATGTCCATTCTGGCTTATTTTCCGTTCACCTGCCAAACACATACACATAGATTACTTTTTGCAGAAACTGAGGTATTCAGTTTCCATCCCCACCCCCACCACCAACTTAAGGTTTCACTAATTATTCAGACTGATAAAGTCAATGAAGAAACAAATCCAGGCAATCTCTGATGCCATACACTCATACCTTTCTCTCCGTAAAAGAGAGCAATTTCTAAGCAAGATATGAGCAGTCCCTTTCAGTGCTGGCAGATACAAAGCACTAAGGAGATGGCAGACTGAAGATCTGTACTTAGGGCATGTGATGCCCTGGAAACTCAGAGGCCTCCATCACAATTCAAGATATTCCCCACTGGAGGAGTTAAAGATGCACATGAGCACGAGCACAGGCCAGGTGTGTAACAATCAGGAGTGGTGAGGACTGTGGCAAAAATGCTCCACTAAATTAGGAGCTGTCAACCAGCCATAGCTGATTGTTATAGAAATGTAAACAAGCACTTGCCAAGAGAGCTTTTGCTTTTTCACATTAGGTCAGAAATCTTTTTTACACAATGTGAAATAGACAAATTGGAAAAATACCACGTGAGCCTGACATAGTAGGCAGTTAAGACAGACATGAGCAGAGCAGGAATTTGATAAGCCAGGTACAGAAGGTCACCAGGGTGGAAAGCCCTGGGAGCTTACCAATGGACAACTGTAAGGTGGGACCTCGTCCCCAGGGTGACCTTTCCTCCCCTAGCATATCGCTGGCCATGCAATTCAGACCCCCTGATCTTTCATGCCGCTGGTCATCCTGTGGTTCGGACCCTCCCCTGACTTTTCCTCCCCTGTCACGTCACTAGTCATCCGGTAGACCTCCTGTACAGGAGGAACAAGGGGGCTGGAAAAAAGCCTCTACTGCTCCCAAACAAGACCTTGCACCTTCACTCCCTTAAGCATTAAGTCCCAAGCAGTGAGGTTCTGACCTACATCAAATAATCTTAGGAACCAAGGTCTGTTGACCACTAAGACAGAGTTTTAGTCAAACTAAAGATAACATCTAGGCTTCAGCTGTGTTTCACCTTCAGGCCCAGAAAAGCAGCAAGACCAGACCAGGCCGGGTGACACCAAGGCTGACATCAGGACTAGCTATGGTAAGTAAGGATCCCCTGCTCTGGTACAGACCAATTAGTGGAGACCATGACCCTGAGCAGACACTCCTGGAAAGCTGGAAAGCTGATGAATATTCTATTGAGATCCTCCTCTGAGACTTCTAGTTAAAAGCCCTTAAGATGGGAGGTTGTGGGGGTGGGGGGGTCTCTTTCCCCCTCTCTCTCTCTTCCTAAATCCACAAAGCTTAGCTGGCTCACATCTTCATAGCCCACTTCTCTACCTCTGACTTTCTAAATAAACTTTCACCTGTATTTCAGTCTTAGCTCTGAATTTTTTCCTAGCCAAACTCAAGGACCCAGGTCTCTAACACCTGGCGCCGTTCGCAGTTAACATGCCAAAGCAAACACTTAGGCAGTCTTTCAGCTGCATACATTCTGGCCTGGAGGCCCCAGGTGTGCCATCTCTACTCTGTCACCTCTTTCCCCCGTGTTGATAAACAAAACTACCCAAGGGTCAGGAATGAAAACCTTTTTATTACAATCCTATAAAGTGACCAAGAATTTCGTGAGTAAAAAATGGCCTTTTGCCAGTGATAGCTGCTGAAAAGTTATGGAAACTGCGATTCACAGGAAAACAGGGGGTGTATCAGTCTTGGGAAGTCCACCAAATATAAGACTCCAGGTTTGGAATTTCACATCCGGAGGCTGCAAAGGAAGGAGGACAGTATCACCAGGCTCAATCCTTGCCCTGGCGAGGGGCCCTTTGCCTGGGACACACTCCAAACCAGAGGATGAACCACCTCTTCTCACTGCTCATGGACCAAAGTCCAAAGAGTCAGATGTATCCTGGTCCACACTTTACTGACTGACAGTCCAGGCTTGATTCAACTTCAGTGAGAAACTCCAAGAGTTTTATTTACTTGAATACACTCAACTTTCATCAACTAATTTTCATGTTATTACACATTCCCATCCCCCTGGAGTGAAAAACAGCCTAGCCCCTACAGATGATCAACAATGGAATTCGAGAACAGAATGTAAGTATAAGACGGTGGGTAAAGGAAAGTGGAAAGGGGGCAGAGAGGAGCAGGACAGGTGAACCACCCTCCCCAGCATATCCCCCCTCCCAAAATCTCTAGACACAGCGTCCAGGCTTGCCATTGGCTTAGAAGTTGAGATTCCTCTTCCAGTGGGAGTGAGAAAGAGAAACAGAGTAGGAATTTCTAAATTATTATGAAATCTAAATTTTGACCGTAGGGCATTTTAAAAGAAGGAACTGAGAAGAGAGACTGTTTTAAATGTCTCAGCATTATGTTCTAAGAAAAATCAGTCATCACAAAACAAGTACACTACTGCATCGTGCCTTTCTAATAAAACCCTTGCAGGAAGAGGGTTTAATGTGCTCCTGACAGGAACTTCACATATGTGCTTTCCATGGTGGTAACTCCGTCAGCTGCAGCTATGATACTGCTCCCAGCTTATCACCCTGGGTCTACAGAACCAAATCAAAGTCTTCATTCCGGTCGGAACTTCTGCAAATGAAGTCTGAGGTAGGCTCATGGAACCTTAGACCTGGACAAGCAGATTCTGACCTCTGGCCATGGGTTCTGACAGCATGATCCACACACAGCCAGGGCGCCCTCATTTACTAGTATGATAGTCAAGAGGCTGCCCCAGATTAATCCTTCCAGAAACACACTTACAAGCTAAGTGTTGAAAAGGAAACTGCCCTGCTTAGCCCTGAAGGGATCCACAGGGTGGGAAGGCAGAGATAAGAAGGCCTAAAATATTCTATGGTCAACCTCCATTTCTTGGTGAGCAACTCCAACTGAAACTCCACGTCCTCACAAAGACCTCTCAGAACTTCACTAATGTGGACACAACTCAGGTACAAAAACTACATTATAATCCCTGTACTCGGTCTATTCAGATGACAAAATTCCTGTAAAACACCCCCCTTCTCCAGAGGCAGCACAACAACAGGGGCCTGAGTCACCCTATCGAGTCTCCATAAGCTGCAAGCGGCTTCCCAACAACTCTGTGCTTGAGGGGTGGTCTCCCACGGCGCTGCAGGTTCACCAGCTACTATAAAGCGGGCCTGTCCAGCCGACCACTGTGGGGCCTCTGCAGCCTGTGGTTTAGGCAGAACAGCCAAAGTTAAAAATTAGCCTTGAATCTTACTCAAGTTAGGCAAACATGGGCTACAAAAATATATTCTCTGTCCGGAGCTCAGAATCAAGAAAGGCCAGCTTGGGAGAGTATTTCCCTCGGCAATACACACAAGTGTATGTTTGATAGCAGTGCAAATGTGTCTTCCCAACTTATGCATAATGGGTTGCTCTAAAAAGGAATTACATCCCCACCACTAATTCCTAGGTTAGAATTTTTTAAAAAGAAATCTTTCAGAGAAAAATAAAAAGCCCTAGTCTTAAGGAGTAATACACTAAAACATTTAAGACTAAGATCGTATCACCACAAACATCAAAGAAATCTAAGTGAAAGCCAGCCTTCCTGCTGCTCTGCAGGGTCAGCTTGGGTGGGAACATCATGGGAAACCTCTGATTCACAGGAATGATAAAGCCAGTGATGCCTCACAATGTGCTCTCAAGATCATCATTCAGGGTGCTTTGCTTCTGAAATCCCCACTGGATTTTCCATAGGCCATGCCCAGGTTGGTAGAGAAGGTGTGTGCCCGCCATATATCCTGTATGGGCTGACCACAAAGCACCTATGTTCTGTTAATTCTGAAATACAGGATGTACTTTTACTTACTATTGCTAGTACACTTAAGAGTGTAAAGTAGAAAGGTGAAGGCCCCATGATGGAAGGAAGCAGGAAGCGACCCAGGGGCTTGGGGATCACTCCCAAGCTCAGCTGGCTGAAACTCACTGGCCTACCTGGAGGGTCCTGAGAGAATGGCTTTCCTTCTGTTCTGGAGGAGGGGGGGGGGGGGGGGTAAGGATTTAGGGAACAAAAGAAAGTTAAAACTCCAAATTCTTCATACATGGAATATATCTAAGTCATGTAGCCAGACAAGTCTAGTCCGGCTTGGCCAATTCAGTCCAATTTGGCAACTGGGATGAGGTAGGCTTTACAAAAGAACCTTCAACAGCACCCCAGAGCTCAGTCTCATCACTAACGAACGAGCTATTCTGCCATGGGCCACATGTGGGCTCTCAGAAAAACCATGGGGCAGGAGGTGTCACAGAGAACAAGTCCCCAGATAGATTTCCTGGGCACAAGATTACCCACCAGTAAGGCACAAAACTTAAACAGAATGACAACGAAATAGAGTCCCTTACATATACGGTTGTATCAGGATCACCATCTAATATACAAAAGATTAAGAAAAATATCATGAACATCCATTTATCTACCACCCTACTGCCTCTGATAAAGGTTTATCAGATCCAAACATTTTACCACATTTACTTCTCTGATTTTTATAGATTTTTTAAAAATCCTCACCCAAAGACATGCTTTTATTGGTTTGAGAGAGAGGAAAGGAGAGAGAGAGAAAGAAAGAGAAACATCAATGTGAGAGTGAAACATCGACAGGTTGTCTCCCACATGTGCCTGGACCAGAGACCAAACCTACAACTTGGGTAGGTGCCCTGACCAGGAATAGAACAGACCCACGCTGGCCAGGGCTACTTCAGATATTTTTAAAACTCTCGGCCTGGCCAGCGAGGCTCAGTGGTTGAGCGCCATCGACCTATGAACCAGGAGGTCACGGTTTGATTCACAGTCAGGGCACATGCTTGAGTTGCAGGCTCGATCCCCAGTGTGGGGCATGCAAGAAGCAGCCAATCAATGATTCTCTCTTATCATTAATGTTTCTATCTCTCTCTCTCTCTCTTTCCCTTCCTCTCTGAAATAAAAATATATTTTAAAATAAAAATAAAACTCTCCCTCTCTCTCAGCACCTGGAATGTAGC